AATATATATATATATATATATATATATATATATATATATATATATATATATATATATATATATATATATTCTATCTCTATAATATGACACAATAATTAGCAACAGTCCAGGTCCGTATCTCCATTGGCATATAAAAGGAAATACAGAAATCCTGGACTGTTTGTTGGCCACAAGGACTGGTCTGGCAACTACTGCTCTAGACTTTTGTTTCCTGCTTGACCTTTGATTGCATAAGCAATGTTTTTTTTTTTTATATATATATATATATATATATTTACAAACCAGAAAAAAATACAGACATATATGCATTAAGGTTTCCTCGTATGATAGAAGTATAAAATACTGCGCATATATAAAGTAAAAATGACAAACAATAAGTACAGCTGTTGGCGAATGAATGTTACCATTGATCATATCCTTGTTAGTACTACAGCCGTACACACATTTAAAATGAAAAGGATGTTTTTGGCATGGAGACCGTCTCTAAGTAGCATACAGATCGGGGCATCGTACAAATTTCCCCCTTTTTTGTTTTTTTTCTTCTTCCTTTCCCTTCCTTTCTCTTTTTAACCAGTTTCCTGACTTCTGAAATCCTTAAATATTACCCTGGTTTTGTTTAGTTAGCCATTGATTCCAAATTCTGTTATATAGGAATTGTTTCTGTCTAGCTAAGTAATACCCCTTTTCCATTAAGCATTGGTGAGAGATCTGACTTATAACCCTAGGCCATTGTATTACATCTTGATTTTTCCACTGCCTTGCTATTACAATCTTCGTTGCTAGTAATAGTTGTATTATCAAGGCTTTGTTAGAAAAATAAAGATTGTCCAAACCTAAATGGAATAGGGCAGTTTCTGGTGAAATTTGAATTGTTTCCGTGCGTTCTGAAATTAAAGCAAATACTTTCCGGCAAGTACTCTTAATGTTATTACAAGACCACATATGAATTAGTTTCCCTGGTTTATAATTACATTTCCAGCATTTTGGGTTTGCAGTAGTGTTAAATTTCTGTACTTTCACTGGATATAAGTGCCACCTATATATAATTTTTAAATATAGTTCCTGTGGTGAAATATAGTAATGTCACGAACCGGTTCGCGGCGAACTCCGGTCAGCTGACACATCCCTGCCAATCTCCGGCAGACCCTCCCTCCCAGACCCTCCTACTTCCTGGACAGCATCCATGTTGAAGGCAGCTTCAACATGGATGCTGTCCAGGAGGTAGGAGGGTCTGCCGGAGATTGGCAGGGATGTGTCAGCTTACCGGAGTTCGCCACGAACGGTTCGTGGCGAACCGTTCGCGGCATCACTACTGAAAGACAGTAAGTAATCTTTCCTATTTGAATCCAACTATCCCACCATTGTTTCTTATCTATTTGAATTGACATTTCCTTTCCCCATGCCTCTAGAGCTTTATATTTTATTGTAGGTAGGCTAAATTCTAAGAAATCGTACCAAGCTCTTACGATTTTTTTGTTCGAGTTGTTGCTTATTAGTTTGTTAAATTGAACTTTTATTTTTTTTTCTAGGTTTCTGATCAAATTGGAACTTAAATAATATTTGATTCTAATTATGGAAAAATTCTCATTCATTGCACTTCCATACTCTTGTTGAAGTTGTCTAAAAGACTTGAGATTATTTTTAAGATATAGATCTTGAATTCTTAGATTTTTTTTCTTGAAGGCTTACTGGCAGCAGGAAATCTATAATATTGTATTCCAAAATTTCTAGTGGAGAAATCATTGCGCATTTATCCAAAACTTTTTCTTAAATTGAGACCAATCTTCCATAATATTAGACAAGACCAATGAATTAGCTTTCAGCAAAATTTTGTTAATTTCTGGTAGTTTACACCAGTAAAATCTCCAAATTATCTAGTTTCATTACGTATTGTTCTATTTCATACCATTCTTGATTTTTTTGGGGGGGATATCATTAAAATTTGATGGACATGGTTCAAACTGTTCGCAAGCTGATATCTAAATATATCCAGGTAGTTCATCTTTTCAGGTAGTTTTCTTTTGGTATAAATGATATCTCGATATTCGCGGTCTTTTATTATGCCATAAAAACTTGTCCACCAGTGTTTGGAATTGTTTTATATATTTAATCTGCACTTTCAGGGGAATCATTCTAAAATTATAAGACCATGTTAGTAATATGTATTATTTAATCACATTTACCCTGCCCATCCAGGAAACAAAAGTATCATTCCATGATTTTTAATTTCAAAGTTAATTCTTTAATTAGGCGTGAAAAATTGGTTTCCGCTATATTTCTTATTTGTTTAGGTGTATTGATTGCTAAATATTTTAATCCATCATCTGGCCATTGAAAAGTGTAGGCTTGTTTTAATTGGACCTCTTGGGGTTAAGTTTATATTGTATGATATAGTTTGGGTTTTTCCCATATTTAGTTTGTAATTAGACATTTTCCCGTATATATTTATGGTGTTTATCAAAGCCTTCATAAGCAGTGTTTCTGACCAAGGAGGATTACATTGGCATTTGGAGTGGTGAGTCGAGAGGGAAAGAGAGAGTGAGTTTCCCCCCTCTTCTTCATCTAATCTTAATCATAAATATATATTTTGTGTTTTCATAGATACCTCTCTCTGGTTATGGAGGAACAAGTACCCTGATTCTTGATGATGTGAAGAAACTATCCGACAGCTACTTAGTAACGCTGAATGGAGTTTCTACTGGCAGAGTTAGCCATGTAGAATTCCTCATGAAAAATACAGGCTCCCGAGCGGCTTATGTGAAAGCAGTGTGCTTTTCAGACTTTCAGAAAAATGTTACAGCAAATCCCAAAAACTTTTGTGTAAAGCCAGAGAAGTTTGTTCTGATGGAGAGATCACAGGAGGTTTGTGTTCCATTTCAAATAAAATTGAGGTTTAAATATTTTTATGAAATCTTTTTAATGTTTAAATCCCTGGGAAATGTCATTTTATGTGAAGTTTGTGATAAAGGGTTTTACACTTTTTTCACATTTTTACTGTGTTTTAGTTCAGGCAAATGGTATTACATGATTTCTTAGGTATTATTTTATTGAAAAAAAATTGTGGTTTGTGTGTTTCTCTTGTTTTTAAGATTATTACAATAACCTGCAATGCTACAGAGCGGGAGGAAATGTTATGTCAGAGCAACACTATGCTAATAGCTACAGTGTGCTTTTTCTGTGGTGATGAGGTTGCCCGACAACAATATCGCAGGTATGTCACCTTGTTTATATAAAAAGCATAGCAATGTGTTCTTTTGTCATGGGATTGTTTACATTTATTTCTTTTATAGCACTTTTATTTCCTTAGTCAGAATTGTTATATAGTATGCATGCATGTGAGTAGGTGTCTATAAAGTGACAACACATTCTGCAGTCTGCACTTACACAACAGATGGACTAACAAATCGTTAAGTTGGTGGGGACTTACTTGTTCTAATGAGCTTGTGTTCGTGTGTGTGTGGGTTGCAAACAACAACAAAACCCTCCACTGTTTAGTAGATATAGCCCCAACAAATACATGCATTCCGTTTTCATGAACTCCCGCCTTTGTAAGCCCTCCTGTTTTTTTTCTAAGGTTTGAGAGGAGGCACAAGTAGCTTAAGGGAGATAATGAAAACCGGAAGCAAACCTCACTACCTATATGATTGACTGCCAGTGGATGTTTAATTATGATGATAATGCTTATTTCTATGAGAAAAAGTGCGTTTTAAATAGGATACACCTCACACACAAAGCTTAAGTGCTTTATGGGTGTGGAAATCTTCATTAGTTATGTTAGGACATTATGGCATGTTCCTGTGTGAGCAGGGTTATATCCTCTCTGTCTATGGACCTGTATGTCCATAAACACATTAGGTGTTTGGGATGACCTTTCCCCCTGTCTGCTACTACTTGCTTTGTCACTTACTTTTTTTAATCTAATCATGCCATTCAATTTTAATTAGCTAGATTTTGGCGTAATGCTACATGTGCTGATAAACTGTGACCTGAATAGCCTCTCTTGATATAACGGTTTCCTTTATTGTGTTTCCTGATTTTTAATGGTCTGTTAATTTTTTTTTCTACATACTGGAGGTCATCATGGGCACTACAGTAGGTAGATCACATTCTCGCTATTCCATGTAATGAGGTTCTTGATTTTTGTATTTCTCTTTCAGAAGGTTTTATAAGCCATGCACTTACCACATACATTAAAAAAACTTTTAAAATGTAGAAGTATTAAGCCTCTTTTTATCCTAAGGAGTGCAGTTGCTATCATGATCTTAATATTCCTCACTCTTCGAAACATAATATTCATTTTCTCCGTTAAAATATTACATATCTGCATCTTGTAGCAGAACTGGCAATCTTTTTTGATTGTTCTCTAAAATTCCTGGGCTTGGCTACTAAAATCTAACATTAGAGGAATCCCATCTTTTATCCTCTTTCTTGTGTTTATAGGTAAGGAGGATTTTCCTGTCTAACTTTTTTCCAGCTTCCTTTAAGGCATTTCCCAATTCTTCCCTTTTGTACTTCTTTTTCATAAATCTACTCTTAAAGGAACAAACCGGTATTCCGGACCCCCATCCCACACCCTCAAAAGGTAAGAAATCTTACCTTATTTCCATGCAGAGCATGGTGAGGCTGAACAGCAGTGCTGGACACTGCAGGACTGCCCAAGGAAGCACCCCCAGCGGCCATCTGAGGAGTGGCCACTGGAGGTGTCCCTGGGGAGCAATCCGGACAAAAGAAAAACATGTCATCAATATATCTCCTGTAGGTCATGAGGTTTTCTCTCTCTCTCTTTCTTTCTTTCTTTCTTTCTTTTTCTTTTTTTTTTTTTTCTTCTTCTTCTATTATTTCATTTTTAATAATGTAAAAAAAATATTGTCAATTCTCATTTCTGGTTATAGCCCTTATTAGGATAAATTGCATTGTGAAATCTGGTTTAAGTATTTCTAGTGTTGACATAGTGTGACAATTTTTTTGTAAATCTTTTGATATATATTTAGCTTTTTAGAGTGTGTGTGTGTGTGTGTGTGTGTGTGTGTGTATATATATATATATATATATATATATATATATATATATACACACACACACACTAAAAATCTAAATATATCAAAAGATTTAAAAAAATATATAAAAGTGTGTGTGTGTGTAGAGAGAGAGATGTGTGTGAGAATACTATCCTTACCTTTTTGTGTCATTTTACCCCACTCCCTCTTGCATGTAAGTTCATTGAGCAGGGCCCTCAACCCCTCTGTTCCTGTGTGTCCAGCTTGTCTGGTTACAACTACATGTCTGTTAGTCCACCCACTGTAAAGCGCTACGGAATTTGATGGAGCTATATAAATATAATAATATATATAAACACACATAAAATGTAGTTCATATTTTTCTACATTTTTACTGTATTGTAACTTTTAGAGCACTGCTACATAAACCTGACACAGTAAAAAAAATTATTGCTGAAAATCCTCGACTGAAAAGTATCAAGTTTGATGAAGAGTTTCCTGGTGAGCACTTGATGTCTGAAGGTAAGGTGTCTTTGTACATATGACAAGTTTGGCTTTTAAACAAATCTTTTTTATAAATGTCAGGCAAATGCAAATTATATGTTTGTGTATACTAAAGCATATATGTAGTTTCAATTACATTCATGAGCGGTCTTCTAGGTATATAGAAAGTATAATATGTTAAAGTCCAAAAAGAGTGAGTGTGTGTGTATATGTATATGTGTATATGTATATATGTGTATATTAACCCTTAAATCCAGTGCAGTAAAAGTATAATAAATACTTGCCAAAATGATCCAGAATGTGCTTGCACTCAATCAAAACATGGTTGCAGGAATCAGGATCATACAAATTACTATCCAAAATTACCAAATGATACCGCACTCCAAACAAAAATGTTTAAAATGCAAAGAAATGCATGACTTCATGCAACTGAAAAGTATAATATAAAAAGTATTTATTAATATAACACTGCCACTATTGGTTAAGGCTGATGTTCAACCCATTACTCATAAGTAACAAAAACAGCTGAATATCCTGTCCACCACAGTGAAAGTGCACTGAAGATTATAAAGTTGTCAGTGCCAAAAATACATGTCATGCCTACAAATCTATACATCCAAAAAATCTAAAGTGCATAAACAAGTACATATACACAAAAAATAAAATAAATATATATTTATATATATTTGCCCCCACAGCTTTAGCAGTGGTTTCCATTTTCATCTTATCTGCAGGCCATGGAACACACAATTAACTACTGGGTGGATATATTCTTGGTGTGAGTGGCCGTGGCACCCCTATCCAGCAAATAGGGAGTTTCTCCCTGCCTTGATGACATTGAAGTAGCAGTTGCTGAACACTAAATGCTGCAAGTTGGCAGCTTGCTGCTTTCTCTCCTTCACTTTTTCCACTGCCTCAGCACAGGTTCCAGCTTTTACAGGGAATCCTCTCTCTATATTGAAAGCATGCATCATCAAGCCCACACAGACAAATTCCTATAAGGGAATGGTGACCTGCTTTTCCATTTAGGTGTTACAAATCTTGTGGAGGGCGTGATGAATAATATAAGGCAGGGCAATATAATGTCTTATTAAATCTCTTTGTATTTGTTCGTGAGCGTTTGACTATGAAAGGGTACGTCTGTGACTTTGTATGTGTGTATGCCTCTGTGTATCTGTGAATTAATGCATCTGTATGAAGGACTGTCTTGTCTGTCTTTGTGTTTACTTGCGTGTGATAAATTGTGTGAAGTCATTAATTTTTCAGATCCAAAGAAAATGTTTAATCTGCATATCTCATTTTAAAAGACTGTTTTTGTGTCCTGGAATGCTTTTGTCTAATTCCTTTCCCTGTTCATCCCCTTTCCAGTGCCAATATGCAATGTGCATCATAGGTCAGTCTGTGCCTTAGCACAACCCATAACTAACTTTTTATTTAACAAGTTTTTCAAACTCCCTAAGTATGATTGGTCCCCTTAAGTAATTAATTTAGGTAAGGGCTAACCAAGAGTTTTATGTAGAAACTTCTTCTTATCCATTGCTAACATTTTACTGGAGAAATATTACCTGTGGGAGTCCAGCAGCAGCAGTGCTAACATTCAGGTTATCATTTATACTATAAAAACCAAAGAAAAAATTACCTGCACTCTCTCCTAAATCCCTATGTATATTTAAACAAATGGAGGTCATTTAGTTACTCCAATGGCCATTGGAGGTAATGCCTGCCTGCCAGCGTCAAGGCAGACCCCCTCATGTGGGTTCCTACATTGAATACTATCATTTATACTAACCTTTGTTATTGCCAGTGTAAAAAGTAAAAAATTTTATATACAGAATGGGTTATTCTCCAAGATGCACATATAACTGCTCAGCTACAGATACATTTCTATGGGTTAGGGGGAAACCAGAAAAGAAAGTGTAGATTACAGCATGACAATATCATAACATGTTGCACTTTCTGCAAGAGGATATGTTTAGGAATTTCTGGTAACCTCATTTACGTGTATAAGCACTTAAAGGACCACTATAGTTCCAGGAAAACACTTGTTTTCCTGGTACTATAGTGCCCTGAGGGTGCCCCCACCCTCAGGGTACCCCTCCCGCCCGGCTCTGGAAAGGGGAAAGGGGTTAAAACTTACTTTTTTCCAGCGCCGGGCGGAGAGCTCTCCTCCTCCGTTCCGCCCTGTCGGCTGAATGCGCACGCGCGGCAAGAGCTGCGCGCTCATTTAGCCGGTCACATAGGAAAGCATTTACAATGCTTTCCTATGGACGCTGGCGTGCTCTCACTGTGAAAATCACAGTGAGAAGCACGCAAGCGCCTCTAGTGGCTGTCAATGAGACAGCCACTAGAGGCTTTGGGGGAAGGCTTAACCCATTAATAAACATAGCAGTTTCTCTGAAACTGCTATGTTTATTTAAAAATGGGTTAACCCTAGAAGGACCTGGCACCAGAGACCACTTCATTAAGCTGAAGTGGTCTGGGTGCCTAGAGTGGTCCTTTAATAGGGGGAGAGGGGAAATTGTTGTTTTGTGTTTTGGGCAGGGGAGGGGGGGAGGTTAAACCTGATGATGGTTTCTGATGATCTCTAGGACACAGCCATGTGATGTTAGATGAAGTGGTCTGTGTCCCTGTCCCCTCAACCCTGCAATATAAAATATTGCAGTTCTTGAGAAACTGCAATTTTTACATTGCACGGTTAAGTCCTCCTCTGGTGGCTGGCACGGAAATTAATTAATACATGTTTGTATTCCTAACTGAATAGGGTTTCTTTAAGAACTAATGATGTGTTACATGCTTATTAAATCATTTTTTTAACCTTTTATTTTTTTATTTCAGTGTATGACTTACCACAAAGACCTAACGACATTCAGCTTTTTTATGCAAATATGAGTAAAATCATACTTTCAGTTGTTGGAAGTAAGATGAATACAAATACCAGTGAAAACAGAGGTCAGGTGGATCTCAGAGCAAATGTGGACAGGTAATGAAAATTTAGTGTTTAAACTGTGTGTTTAATGCCAGAGGGAGCTTAATCAAAGCTTATTGAAGTGGTCTGGGTGCACGGCCCCATGTCCCTTAACCCTGCAGGTAATTATTGCAGTTGTTAATAAGGGCTAGCTCCAAATCTAGTGGTTGTCTAGAGGAAGTTCTGGGTTGTTGGGCAACTTTTGGTTGTCTGACACTGGGCATCCTCACGCATGAGGACATCCAGCATTACCTGAAACCCCAGAGGAAAGCATTATACAACTCTTTCCTATGGGACAAGTACTAATGCATGGGCATTAAGTCTTCCCTATCGGCTGGTGTTGACTGGGGAGGCGTGGTGGCGGAGCCCGGCGCTGGAATCGGGTAAGTGACAGAAGATATTCTAACCCCTTCTGTACTATGAAGGGGGCACTAGAGGGCCACTTTTGTTTTCTTGACACTATAGTTTCCCTTTAATGGAGCACTGTCTTCTTCTGGGTCTTTGCGTATTTTGAAGAGGCACCTGATGGTGGCATTCTTGCTTGGTGTGGGGTGGCCTGGGGGTGCCAAGGTGTTGGCAGACTCCATAAACAAAGCTGTTTTTTTTTTTTTATGGGGGGTTTTAATAACCCTCCACACTCTGCTGTCAGTCGCTGGGGCTTGGTAGAGCTCATGAGCAGTTGCTTTGACATTTTGTTAAGGTTTATCCAGCATAGGAAAAATACACAAGACAAAGTAGTCCCTACTTTATCTTATGATATATTTTGAATGTGATGAGCATTTCATAAACCTTTTTATCTTTTTTTTTTTTTTATGTCGGGTGGGGGGTGGGGGGTGCTAGAGCTGCCTTAAAGGACCACTATATGCACCCAGACTACTTCAGCTCAATGAAGTGGTCTGGGTGCCAGGTCCCCCTGGTTTTAACCCTGCAGCTGAAAACATAGCCGAGAAACTATGTTTTCATTGAGGGTTAATCCAGCCTCTGGTGGCTGTCTACCTGATGGCCACTAGAGGCCGTTCTGCGATTCTCAGTGTGAAAATCACACTGAGATGACGCTGACGTCCATTGGAAAACATTGAGTAATGCGTTCCTATGGGCGGTTTGAATGCGCGTGGCTCTGGCCGCGCATGCGCATTCGGAGCTGGCGTGAGCAGAGGGGGCAGAGGTCACCAACGCTGAGGGAGCCTGGATCTGGATTAATGTAAGTGGTTGAAGGGGTTTTAATCCCTTCAGCCCAGCGGGAGGGGGAACCTAATAACCCTGTAGTGCCAGGAAAACAAGTTGTTTTTCCTGGCACTATAGTCTTCTTTTAAATATTTTGCCCCATATTCCATAATGTCCTTTGGCAAAGACTGAAAGGGACACTATTGGCACCCAGACTACTTCAGCTCATCTAAGGGGTTTGGGTGCAGTGTCCCAGGTCCCCTAACCCTCCATAGCTAATTATTGCAGTTTCTTATACCAGACAGTCACTAGAGGGACTTCTAGGCTTGTTAGGCGACTTTTGTTCGCTTAACTAAAGCTGGACATCCTCGCGCTATGCATGAAGACAGTGGTCCTCAACCCTCTCTTCAAGGTGGTGTGTCTCTAAGGTGTTTAAGGTGTTTTTTTTTTCTTATTATTCTAAA